GCCGGGGGCGCCCGGCGCCCCGCCCCGCCGTTCTCACGCCTCTCGGGCGGGTTTCCTGGGGGCGGGGCTTAGCGGCGTCCGGGCCGGTCGGTAGGTTGCGCCTTAACCTTGCTGCTGTCTCGCGTCTGGGCGCGCCCGGCGGAAACAATGCGTGTTCTGAGGCAGTTTTAAGTGGACGGAAAGATACGGTGAAACCACCCCCGTTAGCCAAACCTTTCTCCTCTTCTCTCTCCGAAAACAGCAGTGTGCAGGTTTATCTGGTAGCTCTGTCCGGGTACAAGGTAGTTCTGGACCCGGCCACACAAGGACAGCAGGCATTTTTGTGAATTTTACAGTGTCACTAGGCATGATACAGTTGTGAATGATCCCACTCATGAATGGTCTTGGGGCTCCTGGAGAGGGCAGGGAGGCATCCTAACCTGTGAGTGGCAAGTAAGCGAATGTGAGTGTGCGAAATTCTTGAGGCTCAGCAAGAAACTTTTCGATGAACCGCGTTTTTTTTTTTTTAAGACTCATAAAAGCAGAAGGGTGACTTGAAAAATACACTCAATCGTGGTTACTACTTCGTGGTGGAAAGAGCTGGGGTTATGTGGTCAAAAATAGCAATATCATCCAAGGTCTACTGCTCTGAGCTGAGACCTTGGATTGTCTTCTGTAGAGGATCAGCGTTCCCATGACACGAAATTACGTATGAAAAATAACGTGGGACAAGATGTTCCATCCTTCAAGGCCATGCTGAGGGTCGGACACAGTTAACGCGTGTAAAGGCATACGGTGTGCGTCACAAACAGTAAGTTACAGCTCTTCTTGGCCCTTCATCCCTGAGGCTACTCTTCAGATGGCTGAAGGCCAAAGTCATGGGATATTGCAATGATGCGACGCACAGCTGAAGATACTTAAAAGAATAACAAGAAATAGAACCTACAGACCTGAGTCTATAGGCAAATATTCAGCTGGAACTCTTTTGAAAAAAGGAATGAAGTTCAAGGTGGAAATGGTACCCGGCAAGTAATTCACGAAAGAGGAGCTTTGTGAAAGAATATTTAACTTTTTCACAGGAGACCCCTTCTCCAAAGTCAGATGAATTAATTGTAGAAAGACGGGTGGGGTGGCATGAGCATGGGAGTAGGGTGAGAATGGGGAGATTACTATGTCCCCTCCCCTCCTAGCCCTCCAATAGCAAATCCAGCTTCCACTGGTTATGACATACCAGTCCGCTTTATAAGGCTTTGTTTCTATCCAGATTGTAGTTGTAAACATAGTTCATTTTAGCCCCCAAACTACCAAGCACAGGGAAGGTCTTGAGCACATTAAGAGCTCAGTAAATATTTATGAGTAAATTAACGTCAGTAACTTTCACTAGTAATCATCAGAAATCATGAAGCATGTGCATTAAGATTAAAGATGGGGAAAAAATGTTCTCCAGATTTTCAAAGATGAGTACAGGCTGATCTCAAAGATGATGGATTCAGTATTTTAAAGAATTCCAGAATGGATTTGTAAACATACCATCATAAATAAGCAACATTGAGTTAGTGAGAACATACTTTTGCTTGCTCTTTCTCTGTGAGATACCAGTAAAACTCCATCTGCGGGCCCTCCCTGATGGCACAGCGGGTTGAAGCACAGCACTGAGAATCTAAAGCCGCTTCCGCATGAGTTCAATTCCCGCCTGCCCCGGAGGTGACCACATGGCGTGGCAGACCTCTCCTGACCCGCCCGCTGCTCCCCTCAGCAGTGTACTTCGTCGATCTGCCTGTTCTGCTCCCCACTCTGTCTCTGGTGAATCCTCTCACCCTCCGCATCTCTGGCCTGTACCCCAGTTCTGTATGAATAAATAAATAAATCTTTAAAAAAAAAAAAAAACTCCATCTGCATTTTGAAGTCCATTCAAATTCTGTCTTTCTCCTGAAGTTATGACTGTTCATTCTGACAGATCATCCTCTATAGTGAATGCCTAAGAGCTTTTATTTAATCTTGTAAAAGGTATAGTGTCAGTTGTCTCAAACAGGCTGTTTATAAGTGCTTGGTAACTGTATAGTACAAGAATGTGAACTTCTTGTTTACTGAGCACCTAGTTTGAGCCTCATGGTACCATGAGCCCCATCATACATATTTGTATCATTCCTCTTTGAGATCAACCCTTAAGCCACCTCTGAAAACCGGGAGACAGTCTGACCAGATACAATCTGACCAGTTTTGCTTAACAAAACCACGAGGCCTTAACATCCTGCTGGTGAAGTAAGAGAAGTTTCACAAGTAGCAGTGCCCTGTATGAGGTAAGAGTCTAAACTGACAGGGATTAGTGGCTTTGCTTAGAATGTGAAAGGCTGTATTTTCAGAGTTATTAGATGGGGGAAGAGTGGGACTGTGGCCCTTTTGCTAAATTCCTGTCCTACTTCATTCCACACTCAGATTTCAGCCCCTTCCATAATTTTATCGGGCAGTGGAAGGCTGGAAGATCAGTGTTCTGCAGCTGCTTCCTGCTGGAGGGGTTCTCACCTTTACCTAAGGCAGGGACAGAAAATCTCTGCCTTCCTTATGACAGGGGCAAGAGCCATGTCTTCTATTATATCAATAGGTAAGAGCTGCACTCCCTACATCATCATTTTGATATGAAATTGTGGAGGTATAGAGGAAACAGATTATGACAAAAAGATTGAGACATAAAAGAATAATTATTTTTACTCCAGCTGGGGATGATCACCAAGATGGTCACCTTGAGAATCACGTCTGTTGATCTAAGGATTCTGTTAAGGTTAATGTGTAAGGCTTTTCCCCTCAAGTTGGCAAGGCCATGTTTATTCTTTGTGGAAAGGAGGTAGTTTAATGCCAAGCAGTGTAATACTTGGCTATGATTTAGGTTTTTAAATTTTAGTTTGAATGGTGCCAATCATTTTACCTGTGACATTGTTTGTTTGATTTTTAACATGTAGTAAAGTCTTAGTATGTTATATCTAGTTTTTATTATGCCAAAATTTCAGGGCATAGACCCAATGCAAGAAGTCCCAAGGCTGTTTCTCCAGTTACTCACTTGGGTTTTGACATTATTAGTTTATAGGTTTTTAAAAATACCTTTAAAATATTTAGGAAGGGCCCTCCCTGGTGGCGCAGCGGGTTAAAGCACTGCACTGAGAAACTAAAGCCACTTCCGCATGAGTTCGATCCCCGCCTGCCCCGGAGGTGACCACATGGCGTGGCAGACCTCTCCTGACCCGCTCGCTGCTCCCCTCAGCAGTGTACTTCGTTGATCTGCCTGTTCTGCTTCCCGCTCTGTCTCTGGTGAATCCTCTCACCCTCCGCATCTCTGGCCTGTACCCCAGTTCAGTATGAATAAATAAATAAATCTTTAAAAAAAAAAATATTTAGGAAGAATAGAATTTGATGTCCACAAAATATATATTATTGAAATACCACTTTTCTCTCCACCTTTACTCCAGTTTTATCAAATAATTATGGCACTAACAAGTGACTTGTAAATCAAGTCTGATATCAATTATCTTGGCCAGTTTCTACATAAGCACAGCAAGAACAAAATTCAACTGTATATTTTAAGCTTTACTGGAACCTTCAGAAGGAATCTCAGACTGAGATCTTAATGGTACCTCTCAGGGTAGGAGAACATTCCAGTTTCATAACAGCTTTGCCTTTAAAAACCCGTGTCTTGGTCCTCCCTGGTGGTGCAGCGGGTTAAAGCACAGCACTAAGAAGCTTAAGCCACTTCTGCATGAGTTCGATTCCTGCCTGCCCCGGAGGAGATCCACATGGCGAGGCAGACCTCTCCTGACCCGCCACCCTTAGCAGTGTACTTCGTTGATCTGCCTGTTCTGCTCCCCACTCTGTCTCTGGTGAATCCTCTCACCCTACGCCTGTACCCCAGCTATATATGAATAAGTAAATAAATCTTTAAAAACAGAAAACAAAACAAACAAACAAACAAAAAAACGTGTCTTTGGGTAAGTTCTTCGCTCTGAGGACAAAATGTACCGAGGTCTCTATTTGTCCGTACAGAGTGACATTCTTTACTCTTTCGGGTAGACCTAAAGCCCTATAACCAAGGTATTGGCTGACTTTTTTTCAAAGGCTCTGAAATCAAAGTCTCATTTTACTATAGAACAAAAAGGAAATTCTTATTCGATTTATGCAAATAAGCACATTGCCAGATTTATATCTGATGATTATTGAGCCAAAACTTGGAGCATTTTATTAGAAAACTGTTATCCTCTATTCTCTTCTTTCTATATACACAAGTATCCTATTAAAGTACTT